ACACAATATTCACGTACCATCCAGATATGATGTGATGAATAATATACAGGGGTGGGCAAAAGAAGGTTTACAGTTGAAGAAGATAAATAATATAATAATTAATAAATAATAATAAAGTCTGCATGAAACACAGACTTTATTCTTATATTATAATAATAACATCTGCATGAAACAGTCTATTCTTATATTATTATTTAATAATACTTTTGCCCACCTTGTATTTAAAATCTTCGCTACCAACACAGTTGATGCCAAATAATAAAAACTCTAAGGTGTAGCACCATTAATTATGTCTTTCAAAACCAGGAAACTATGTCAATAGAATAAATCAAGAAAAAAAAGTTGCATTTGAGAGTATAATTACAGATTGATTTTTTATTAAAGTGAGGTTTCTTTATAGAAAAAATATTTTTAAAATTTTAAAATTTAAAAATACTAGCTTTTTCAGCCTGAAAATTAATTTCCATGATCTATCAGCAACAGTAAAATGAATCTGGGAGAATCAGAAACAACTGGATCATATTTGCATAGGAGGTCTATATGGCAAAGGCATACCGACTCACCTTGGTTTTCATCACAAAAATCAGAGACCCGTCTTGCTAGTGACACTACAGAATCTGAGGGAATAAAGGAAGGGATTGCATGAGCCTCTGGCTTGGTAAAGATTGGAAAGGTGGGTGCTTCGGAGCCAGGGGCAGCGCGGGTGTGCCTCAGCCCTTTGGAGGCGGGTATCTATTAAATGAGGTCCTGGTTGGTGGAGATAAGTGGGTTTTCCTATTCTGATCAGAGGACACTCCAAGTCATCCTTGGTCTTACATTTGCAATTAATCTCTACTCTTTGTACCCAGTGTGGCAAAGTCAGTGTTACTGTTAGATGTTTCTCAGGCGTGGGACAAGTGCCTAGGGTGCAGAGCATTTTGGTAGTAGAAGGGGAGGCCCCACATTTGCTTAGCTGTGACAAAGAGTGACATCTAGTGGTGAAGTATAACTGGGAGCGTGTTTACCCTATGTATGTGTCTGTTTTTAAGCCTTTCCACATCTGTGGACTCTGTGTGGAAAGGGATTATCTACTCACCTTTATAAATATGTTTAATCAAAAGTTGTCATTGTCTAGCTTCAAGGTCTGGGAGAAGAAAATCTGAGGTAGCTCTCCAGACTAGGTCTTACAGTATTTCCAGAGTCATGCTCATACAAGAAGGGAGAGTGGAGAGGGAAGGAAGATGGGACTAGTGTTGATAGAGTACTTGGGCGCACCAGATAGACTTATCTAAGGAGAATGAACTAAATGAAGAATTTATTTTTCTCAGAATTTATAGAGTACGTATGTGGATGGGGGAGGCAGTATTGTGTGTTAAAAACCAATCAGAATGGAGGAAAAATTGTATGTTCAGTGGTCTTCACACTAGAACGTAGGCACATCAGTGGGAGATCCAAAACATTTATATAGAAAAAGGTTAGAGGAGATAATCTGGGGGACCATATATATGCAGATGGTGATAAACTAATCTTCACTGCAGTGGAGGGGAACAAAAAAGAAGAGCAGGGGAATAATAATAGCTAAAATTTATTAAGAAATTATGATGCATTCAAATATAAGACAAGTGCTTTATGAGTATTTTCTCATTAAATTCCTGTACTATTCATTTGAAGTAGGAACGGTTATTATCTTCATTTTATAGATGAAAAATGTAAGCTCATTTTTCCTAAGATCACAAAGGTGCTAAGTTAGAAGTATTAGTATTTGAATTCTGGTCCTTCTGATCCCAAAGTTCATGCTCTTAGCAATTTGGCAATTTGTATCTTCTCTGTGCTGTTCCTACCATAGACTAAAATAAATAATGAAACCCTGTGTGAGTACTTCCTAGTAGATTATTGTAGTGATACCACACCATTTTCAGGAATTAAGAATTCTATTTTCATAATTTATTACATCAAGACTTTTAGGAAGAAGAATCATTTGATAATAATGCAGTTGGCCTTCTTTGTTCTAGGATTTTTCTGCATGAATATCACAAAATTATTCACCTCATTTTAAGTAGTTACTCTTATTAAATAGCTTTCCCCCCCAATTTTACAGATTACAACAGGGAGCTATTATTGTAAGACCTGAGCATAGAATATTTATTAGCTATTTATAGTTTTTCCTTGTTTCAACATTGATAAATACCAGAAATTAGGTGATGGATTTTCAGCCACCCTCCACAAACCTGTTACTACTGCCAGAATGGCAGGGTCAGGAGCTAGGAGCAGTGAGCAGGGAGAACCAAAGCTTTGTTACTTCAAAACAAAACCCAGCGACACATGTTCCCACATATGTATATGTAGACACATATATAACCACAGAAATAGTGACACGTAGAATTTTCTACCTACTCTTATGCAACCTCTGGTCTCTCTGAAAGCGGTTCCCCATTGCCGCAGCGATTCCCAGGAATTCTCCTGGGAGACCTCGCGCAGGCTTGCAAGTCCAGCCCTCCAGGCGGCAGCGTGGGGCTCCATAACCCCCGCTTTCTGCACACTGTCTGCTGGGGTTGCCCCGAAGCTCGGGGGGCCTGACGAAGGAGTCTTGCTAACCCCACAAGTGCTTGCCCAGGCCACGCAGTGCTGATGTTATAAGGGCCTAAGCCAACCTCCTCCAGGGAGAAGCCGTTCTCTGGCCTTTGGACCACGGTTGCCTCACTCGAGAGCTCTGGTGCCCTGTGCTCTCTGCATCTCAAGGGTATGAGGTAGAAAAACAGCTTTTCAGTTCTGTTGTTTTTATCACTGGGGGCTCCTCCTCATGAAGCGGAAAGCCAGAAGCTCCCTAGGGATGAGAGGGCAGGAAAGAGGGAACTGAAGAACCAAAGCAAAATCTCCTTAGCAAGAGTCAGCTCCAAGTGTATAAAATCATCCGTCCCCACAAACTGCCACCATCTTATTGGACCAAGATGAATATACTTGGCTCACTCTTCTCAAGAGTTTTTTCCCCAAGAAGATTTCTTGGTCTTTTGTCTGCAGAGAGATCCCTAGAGGGTTTGTTCTGACTGTGTTTGGGCTTTACCCTCATATGAAATATTAAATTGCCTACAACTTGAGTTCAAACTTGGACTCCTGCTATATGCTGGCATTAAGTGTAATTACTGGAATATATTCTTAATTGTTTGTGACCTAGGACTGTATTTTTGCTTTATATTGACTAAAATAATCTTGTGATAGGCAGAGCTATGATCCTTTGTTAGGAAGGCACTTTCATTTTTTTTTAAAAACTCAACTTCTTTGAGTAACATAATAATTGCAGTTTTTTGCCTTTATTGGTTTATTTCTGGATTAGGACATGGAGACCCAGAAAGGTCTCAGCTAGTGCCCTTTACATGACTCCATAGCGCTTACCGTGAACCTGAACAAATAGGATACATTAGGCACTCAATGGCCTAAATGTGTATTTTATTTTCTAAAACACTCTGCGTTCATTTTCTTTCCAAATTGCTCTACAAAGATTCATTGTGAAGCATTCACAGGAAGTAGTCAATAGTGTAGGATAATATATAACCTTGCATAGGTCATAGAAATTGTATAAAAAGTTATAAAATAGACTAGTGAACATGAAAATCTGGAGATGGTTTAAGAGAAAACAGAGGACAAAAGCATACTTTGAACCTTTGAGAAAAATGTAGTTTCCCTTTTCTGAACATACAACCTATAAAATACATATTAAGCCTATTATTCATTTTATTTGAATATTTTCCCAATTTGATGTTAGTTCTTCAAATTATTGAAGTATAAACAAAAATATCTAACTTCTGATTATCTATTATCTACAAAAAAAATGACTTGCTATCATATATTTCAATCTAGAAACTTGAAATACTTCTTTTGCATAAATAATATCTTTTTTTGAAGAAATGGATAAACTAAAAGAACTAAAACTAAATTGTAATTCCACCCACTGCTAATATTTTGGTATTTAACACTATGTGTGTTTTCCTATGTGTATAACTTTTTAAAAACTGGGCTCATTTTGTGGTTACCGCTTTTCCATATAAATACCACATTGTAACATATAGGGAGTTAATAAAATATGTTTCTATGGCATATTTTAAAGGCCTTGATTAAAGTTTCTTAGTTTTAGAGAGGTTTTTCATTTATTCTTAAGGCCCAACAATCTCTAAATTTATTTGAGATGTTTTGGACCACACGAGTGACATAAACTGGAACCCCACACCCAGGACCAGCGTGTGAGCTCTGCTCTATCCACTCTGCTTCGTGGGAACAGGAAAGTTTCCTCACTGTCCCCTTCTTTAAAGACCTGTCCCCTCCTCTCCCCTCCCCACCCCTCCTCTACCTCCCCTTCCCTTCCTTCTTTGTCTATTAACACTATATACAAACATAAAAAGAGCAACACCACTCTGCCTCTTTTTACAACACAAGTCATTCATTTCCTTTTCATGATGTGGATTGTTCTTCTCATAACTTTAAGTATTTTTTGATAGTTGGTTATGTTTTTGATTAATAACAGTAGGTCCCCAAGATATACTACCCTAACTGTAAATCAGCACCGTGTGAAATGGCAGCCACAGTAAATCGATGACTAATTTTTTATTTGTAAAGTTATTTTGTACATAAAAATGGATCAGGTACAAGCAATCTGTATTATAAATAGTGCTATATATTGATTTGAATATCAGTATCAGAACTGATTATAATACTAAAAAATTAATCCTGTCCTTCTTAGGGTAAACATATCTGTACCTATTTATTTCAAGCATTCGGTATGTGGTGGGATCCAGTTTCTGCCACCCATCTCTCAAATCTTTGATTTAACAGTAACTCTTGCTGAGACTCTTGACGTGATACATAATGTAATGCAATACAGCTGAAGGAAGTGAGCCCAAATCACATATTTTATATGTTTTAGCACAACCATAATTAATTACATGTAATATTTTATAATTTCAAAAACATGATACATTTGGTCATATTAAGTAAAATTTATTAATTTAATTATATATTTCATCTTACAGTGACTGGACATCCAGTAATCAAAAGAGCTAACATCCGGATTGTTGGGAAGTTAGTGTCCACATCTATGAGAGAAAGGAAAATGAGACAACATCATTTCTTTTGAGAAGTAGAATGACGTTTTCAGAACAATGTTGCTGTCTTAAGAGTTGAACCCGTCTACCCAAAGAAATAAGTTAACATTGGCCATGGATTAATTTGGTATCAAGAGGCAAAAAGACAAAACATCTTTGCATATCCAAAAGTTTGCAACAAGACAGTCTGCAACTTTTAAATATCTTTGGATGAACCGTTCATTGGATATTCGTCATAAAAAAGTCTGTTGAAACCACAGTGTCAACTGTTCCTTTCACTGGACTTAGAGTTATTTTTTTCTATTACCAATAGATGCCATAAAGAAACTTCAAGAGTCTTGCTTTTAAAAACCAAAGTTTTTGGGAATCGTTTCTCAAAATGCTCTTTAAACTATATGGCTTTATTAGTATAGTCATAATATTATTTTTCCCTGTTCTCCTTGCTCACTCTAAAGTGAACGACTGACAGTCACTATCAGTGTTGATTACTGGCCTGAGTTCAGAAAGGACTGAAGCACAGTGGCTAACCCCAGTTCCTTTAGAGTCTTGAATTTAAGTTTATCTATCTACCTTCTGTCTGTCTGTCTGTCTATCTATCTATCTATCTATCTGTCATCTGTCATTCATCCATCATCCCTCTCTCCCTCCCTCTATAAATGGGATTGGAAAACAAGTGAAGGAGCAATAGTGGAAGGACCAGGCTATAAGAGTAGCACAAAGACTAGATATGAATAGAACCAGGAACTACATGACAAAGGTTCCAATTTTACAGTTCTTACTCTTGATCTATTTCTCTTATAATCAACTTTTTGGTTTTTAAAAAAGTCTCTCAGGCTCCTTTGCGCAATGGAGTTTACCATCGACTACATATGGAAGTTATTAGAATGAAATCTTTAGAGATGCCAATTAAAAGAATCATGTTAAATCAGGATCTCACCAAAACCAAAACCAAGCTGGACTCAATGTCATTCTGATACTCTAACCAGAAAATGTTAACAGTGAAATATTTGATCTGGAAAAAAAAAAGTGATTACTGGCTAAAATGGGGAGGTTAGCTTATAAGAAATTCAATTATTCATATTCTTATGTTGGTAATTGTGTTTAATTTTAAAAAGAAAAGTTTTTCTTTATTTCAATACGAGAAATAACTGGAAAATGCACAATAAAAAAAGGAAAAATATCAAACATGAGCTGTGTCACAGCATGGCCACAGACCATCAGCTCTCTCCTATTTATAGCATTAGTAGGAGAAAAATTTGACTAGACTTTTGCCACCAGTATTCAAAAAAATTGGGAGCAAAAGAATAGTCATAGAAAGGCACTTACAAACACAGTACAGAACTTCCTAATGTGTGTTATATAGCGAGTGCCACTGTTTCAAGTGGCAAATATGTTCGTGAGAAGACAATATAAAAACAGTATCAAAATTACCTTTTAAAAAGAAAACATAAGTTACGGTTATGACCACTAGGGCAGAACACAGAAGTTTATTTTTCTTTTAATAAAATGTAATTGTTCTTGTCTCATGTTGCATACATTTGACTCTTACTCTTGATTTTTATCAAACTGAAGTAGGGCTACTAAATGTCAGTTAGAGGTGGGATTTTACATTAAGTTCAGTGACAATAAGTCATTTTCTAGCTGTAGAAGACAGTGTAAGGTCAGGGAAAAGAAGCCTTTACTTTTCAATAGTTAGTTTCCATATAAAAATTGGCACTTGGTGCTCATCAAAGAAAAGAAATATTGGATGTGCTCTAAATGTCCATTGTGTTTTTGAGCCAACTACCTGATGGAAGTCATCACTTATATGTAAATGAACTGTCAGTGGCTTGCTACTGTGGGCAATCACTGGACTGTGAAGGGTATGTCTTAATAAGAACCGAAGCTCTTCACAGACTTTGATTTACTGGAAATAAAAAGTCCTCTGAGACTACAAAGGACACTTGTTTCAGATAAAACGTCTAGACAGTAGCAATATATTTAGGGCTTTTATTATAGCAAAACTGCAAATTAGAATGGAGTGGTGAGAAAGTTCCTGTGGCCCCGCTGAGCTCCGAAATGCTGCTTTGGACTAGAGTACTACAGTCTTCAGAACAGCTAAGCCAATTAAACAAAAGTGCATTAAGAAAAAAAAAAAGAAAGATTAAGACAAATTTGTTACATCTTTTAAATTATTTATGTTTTACATTTTCTTATAAATCTATTTTTTCTTATTAAATCTAGCTATTTGATACTGGAAAGTTAAACTTTCATGATTCTACAACAAAGATTACTTTTCAGAAAATTTGGATTTAAGGGGATTTTTTTTTATTCATTCCTTTTCCCAATTTCCATTCCAAAACACAATTGAAATGCTGAATTCAATATTTTATTGATGTTTTTATTAATGTTTTTATTAATCTTAATAATAACACAATAACTTTGCAAAATGCTTTAGAATTTGCTGTGTACTTTCATATAAGTATGAATCATGAAAACCTTAATAGTGTTAAAAATGATTAAAGAAGGCAATTCAGGTGACACAAACAAACTTAATATTTAACACTTCATGAAGTGGGCATCTCCATTTAGGGAACAGCAAGATGATGTGGAAGGAAGATTTTATAGGATAAAAAATAAGGAAGAGAAAAACAGCAAATATGTCATTGGCTGGGATCACACAGTCAACCTTGTTTGGAGAGAGAGGGAACAGAAAAATGAGTCCAAAGCCCAGAGCTGGCTTGGTGCTGGGGGACTGGCTGACTGAGTGCACTGCGTTGCTGGTCCAGGGCAGCATTTAATTTACAGGGACACAAAATTATCTAAGTTTTGGTTTGCTGGCATGGAACCCAGGAAGGAGCAGCTCCATCTTGAGTATAGAGATTTATTCCAATAATCATTACACCAAATTTTTAACTGCTTTTGCTCTTAGCATGCTATGTTCAAACAAGGCTATCAGTCAGCGTAAGTTAACTGCTTTGAAAAACAATTCTAAAAATCCTTATGAGCTTAAAATCGTAACAATTTCTTTTTTGCTCACTACAAAATCCAGAGTGAGTCAGCAGAGACTCCACTCCATGCAGCCTTTCAGAGATTCATTTTAATAGCTTTGCCATTCTTTAGGGCCATTCTTCACAAAGAGGCAGCAGCCCAAAAAAGAGAATGTGGAGAAAAGCACACCCACTTCTTTGTTTCAGTCTGAACTTGGAACATATCACTTCTACTCACTATCTACTGGAGAGAACTTGCCACCTGCTTCCATCTAAATTTAAGGGAACTAGAAAATATGGTCTAGTTTTACATCAAAAAAGAGAATATTCTACTTTCTGTCACAAGGATTCAATTTCATTCCTCCTTATTTTAGGGGGCAAGAAAAATTTCATAGGCCTTCGCTTGGATTGCCATCATTTTAATTTAAAATTTAATCTCAAAAGTATCCAAATAATTCAGTCTTCTTAGTTTCTCCAATATTTTGATATTACTTCCCTAGTACAATTAATTCATCAAGAATTCTACATCAATTTAAAGAGAAACAATTTTTGTTTCTCAGATATGTACTTTTCCTTCTTGAGATTAAAGGACTTGGGTTTCATTTGTGTTTTGGTATATTACTCAAACAAAAATCATGCCAAGAAAATAGTTTTAGTAATATGTTGATAACAACTATTCTTTTGATAAAAACCACCCGTTTCCAGTTTTCTAGAAATATGCTATGAAGAATTGATACTTGTAGAGCAATGGAGGGAAACAGAATTGAACTATCCCCATAAGGGAAAAGAGAAAGAGAAAACTTAACTAAAATTCTAAATAGCTTTGCTGAACATTTTGAACAAATATGCTGGCTTAAATATACTTCCTTTAAGATTGTTGTCTCTTTCTGGAATAAATGCTAAAATTTCATATTTTGGAATTATTAAACATATCCCATATTGGATTTCTTTTATTTGTGTTTCCTCTAAGTTTTTGTACACTTTCCACATTGTAAAAAATGTATGTTTCTAAAATAATAATAGTCCTAATAATAACAACAACAGAATAAAAGCTATATTTTCAGCCTCCCACATACAAAATTTCCCTTAAGGACACTGGGCGGACACAGACACTCATACTGCCAGAACTCCTCCAGGCCGTCGCATGCCCTGTTGGTTCTGAGGTTAGTGCCTGTGGGGTAGCTTCCTGATTTTGGCAAGTTTGATCCTGGGACTATAGGAGTAATTCATAGAACTTCTGCAATGTCAACTTTTTTTGAGTTGTTTGAGTTGTATCTCTTAATAAGTCTGTTTTTGATCCACATGTAGGTTGTGTTGTTCTGTTGTCTTTGAGAATCCTGAGCCATATATTTTCCCTCTCTCCCTCCCTGACCCCCTTCCTTCCTCCCTCCCTCCCTCCCTCCCTTCCTCCCTTCCTTCTCTCTCTCTCTTTCCTTTTCTCCTTCCTTCCTTCCCTCCTTGTTAAATAATGCTAGTCAATAAAAACTCTACCAGTATAAAGGAATATAAATATATTTGAAAGTTAAGATGCACTTCTCAAAACGAAGACTTCTGATGCACAGTGTACATTCCATGTATCAGACCTCCTCACGTGTCATGCTGTCACAGGTGGGCACAGGTAACCAGGTTCTTGGTGATTGTGGACAAAAAAATTGAACTGAATACACAGAGTTTATAGCAGAAAGCAAGAAAAAGCAGATTTATTAAGCCACACAGAACATGGGAACAGGCCAACTCTGAGCAGAGCAGAGAAGAGCAGAGCCTAAGAGCAGCAGCAGCTGCAGCCGCAGCAGCCCCAAACTCAGGGGCTAGAGGACTTTTAGTCCTCTAGAGTGGGTCTCTCCACAATGCTAATTTATTATAATGATATTATAATGAAGCAGGGGTCAGGTAGCATCTTCTGCACAGGTGCATTCCTGATTCACCAGGATTCAATGCTTTTCCAGATACAGAAACTACCAGTCTTAGAACAGGGTCTCCGCCCTTTGTCCATGTTCTTTATCTTAGTCCTGGGGCACCTCCGGAGTTTCCTGCTTCCTGATTATCTCCTGCCTCAACGCTAT